AATTCTTTGCTCGAGAAAAAAAAAGAGAAACGTAATAATTTTTCCTTAAATTCTTCAGCAACAAAAAACACTTATATCATTAGACAGTCATACTTCTCTTCATTTTTATAGAAACCCAATATTTATTATAATTAAATCCAAATAAATGTATTATGAACACGTCTTCTAAAAATTAAATATATTATAGTAACAATATATCTATAAAGAATGTTCACCCTTTTCCTAGTATTTCACGAGAACATTTTTTGTGCAAATTAGAATTTTAACATATTTTTATATTATGTTCAAATCCGCTTCTTGATGAAACCTTATACATTGAACAATACGAAGAAACTCGTTCTCGAAGAAATATTCCTACATACTCAAATGTCTCACCCTGCGATTCACTATAGTTATAGCAGACGCAAAGCATTTGATGGTGAAGGTCAAATGCATGAAGGTATAACTTTTCTTTAAAAACGCCTATATACTTTTTTGACTAAATTTTTAAAAATCTCTTACAGAATATGAAAAACATCAATAATAATGTATTGCAGCGCTATCTACTGAGTTAAAAAGATACTTAAATTGTTTTGGACACACATAACCACTAGTGCTCATTATTTAATATGATTGTATCCCTGATTTTATTTATAACTGTATTAGTATTTTCTCGAATATACAAAGAGCTTGTAAACATAACAATAAAATAAATTAACATAAAATCCTAACTCGACTGTTATTTGAATACGCTACTTCCACACGATAATCAACCGCTATAACAACTAATACTCAGTCGTTGTAACTGAATGTTAACAAATATTTCAAATTCCTAAAGTAAACATTCAAATCGCTAATGTAAATTATCATGTTATTCTGTTTTTTTTTTCAATTGTAATATCTTACTCTGAACATGATGAGCTAATAATTAAAGAGTTATAATACATTTGATTGGGATTTCAACTCGACTTCCGCTTGAGACAAACCACTGAACCAATTTGAACGTTACAAACAGAGAGTGGAGCGTTACAAACATAGAATAGCTTTTATTTCCCTGAAAGGGACCCGTAGACTGACTGGAGGGTCACCTGTTTTAACCACTCTACAGTAGTGTGTCGTCTGTCAGTTGACACTAAAATGACATTACATAAGGGATGCTTAACGTTACAATTGGTATTGTCGTGACGTCAATGCCATGAATTACGAGAAGAATTATGCACTCTGTCGGCTACAGCACAGCATAACATATGAACTTAAAAAAGCAAAAAATAAACATTTGTTACACTTAATTTTGGTTTTATTTACTCTTGAAACAGAACACTCAGGGATCCTGTGAAAGTACATCAACTATATACAAGGTGAGACAAAACTCACTATACAGTTGCACACTTTTATTAATACAAAAAAAATTGAAACATAACAACATAGAATAAGCAATTTCTGTTAACTAAAGACATGAACTGAACACATTTTTATGTTAGTCTCCAACTTAAGTGTTCGAACTGTCAACCATCAGCATTAACACATGTGACATCTATCTTTCACAAAGAGGGATGTGTTTTTATTGATGTTTGTAAATGCCTGAGATACATACTCCCTAATGTCTTGCGCAATACGTGGATTTTTGGCATACACAAAGTCTTATATCATTCCCACGAGAAGAAATCCATGGGAATTAAGTCAGGGGATCGAGAGGGGCCATTCCACACTTCCCTGATGATCTATTCAATGATTCGGAAAAGTCTCATCAAGAAAATTGCACACCACAAAATGAGGTGCTGCTCCATCCTGTTATAGGTATAGTTCATCACAATCGGCATTTTGTTGCAAATGGGGTAGGGCAATTGTACTCAACATTTCAAGGTAGGATTGCCCTATTACAGTTGCATCAAAAAAGTAAGTGCCAAAGACACCTGAGGTTAAAATATCTCCCCACACATTAATGCCAGATTGCTTCAGTTGCTGTTCAATGGCCACATGAGGCTTAGTGTTGTCCCAGTAGACAGAATTATGTCTATTCACGTGTCCAGACAGATAGAATGTGGCTTCATTGGACCAAACATTGTGTTGCAGTAAATGGAGGATTTCGTTTACTTGGTTGAGCAACACTTCACAGAACTACAACTGGCAATCTGGGTCATCTTCAATCAAACCGTGTACTAAACGTGGAATGTACAGCCTAAAATTCACACTACTTAACATTCACAGCACTGATCTTTAACTTCTAATCTATCTAATTCTGCAGAAGCACAGTGGCTTGATTTTTTTTTTAACTCTGGGTAAAAAACTCTCCACAATTAATGCTTTGTTCTCTTCAATAGTCATTGTTAATGATCTTCCACTATGTGGTGGATCCAAGACAGATCCAGGAGCTTCCATTTTGTCTCACAATCTGTAAATTGCCAGGAGCATTGGCAGAGGAGTCTGATACTTTTGCTGCCATATTCGATGTACTTCCTCTGTATTTTCAAATTTCCAATACTGTTCCATCACAAATATTTTCTTGTCATAATTATGGGTATTTAAATCTGTAAAAACACTAATAACAATTAAAAAAAGACAACAACAGCATCCACACGATGATTCAATACATTCTCGTCAATATAGGTTTTAGTTTTCTGATGAATTATGACATTTAGTAACTTTTTAATTATTAATTTAATTTGAACATTTCTCTGTAAATTACTTTAACTCAGAACTATATACTTACCTTAGTTTTTGATCTATATGGCTGATAATAATTGATATATTCCTAAACATTTGCATTAAGTGTTTACCTGTGATGAAAAAAGAGCTTACAGAATTCTAGCACCTAAAATGTTTAGCGAATTCTTAATTAAAATAATGTGTACAGTTTAAGCCTCCACATAAAAAAATGGTTTTATATAAGCTGGTGAAAGTGCAAGGTTGAGCTACTGAAATAATACTTTTTTTTTTTTATCAAATGTGACTTATAAAAGAGTGGCTTTAAGATTTTTGACTTATTTCTCTGGATTGTAGAAAGTTTATATATTGACAGGACTAATGAACATACAACTGGAAAGTCTATCTCAGTGATGAAAAGATTTCATTAGAAACAATAATTTCAGTATTAGGAGTAATAAGTTTTCGCCATAAGTTTCATAAAAAGTTTAAACATGGGGAATAATTTATTGCATTCTATTACTTTAAACTATTGACAGTTAAGTATATGGATGTGATGGGCTTTTTTTCCTTCATGTGACTGAGACACTACTTTTTTAATAAGTAAATGGCCATCTATTGCTTCTTTTGTACTTGAATTTATTTTAACTCTAATCTATAAAACAACAACATAAAAGCCATATCAGTTGATGGTACCTCTATATCATTATTTCAGGAGTTAGTCTACAAAAAATGAATTTTAAGAAACAGTAAACATGATTAACATTTTCCATAAAGAAACAGAAAAAAACAATTATTTTAGGTTGTTTGATAAACAGACTCATACATGTTTTAATACCTAAGTTTTGTTTCTTATCAATATAAACAAAATTGAAATCTAACTTTTACAGCTGTCAGCAGTAAGCACTTGTCACCAAATTCTTTATACAAATAACAGTGAACTCCATATTCTGTTTATCATCACAATTGCCTGCACACTTTTTCCATTCTTCTAACACAGAAGAAACCTCTGTCACTATAAGCTGAGTTCCACACAATAGTTCATTAAGTTGGTGAAACAGTTTATCGCTTATTAACTGAGGATTCAACAATATTTTCTGTATTAGACCTTTATAAACAGTTAGTGTGACTTCGAGTTCTGGAAGACTGATTTTCTTCGTTAATGATATCTCACACTGTGCTCCACAGGTATAAACAGAAGGTTCTGCTAAGGTGACATTTGAAATATCCATTGATAACAGATATCGTTTGTGAATTTTAAATGATGGAGTCCACCCAAAAATCCATTTCCAGCTGCTAAAATGGTTTACCATATCAAACAAACCTGGAAAACCGGTTTCTGACGGATGAAGACTAAGAAAGCACATTTTGGAAACAGGAACCTACATAAAATATTCAAAATGTTATTCTTAAAATCAGTACTCCCATACATTAGTATTCATGGCAAAAATGGTCTTCACAAAAGATCATATAAAATTAATTCTAAATTTCAAAAGGTTCCCTTATAATAATTACCGTATAACTCCAAATGTCACAAAAACTCTAACTTGAAAACTAAGTTTCCTGCAAACTTAAGAAAACAAATAAAAACATTTAGAAACATAAGTGCATAGTTGTATGATGAAACTATAAAACTACACAATGCGATACAAAAACTTAAACCTATTCTTCACTTCTAACGAGATCTTAAATTTCCTTACTATAGCTATGCTATGCACTATTTAGTGATCATTACATGATGAACCTATTGTTACATTTTCAAAATTCACAAAAAAGTCGAATGTTTCCTACATACTAAATTCATTGGATCATAGTGTGTATTTCATTTGTTATATATAATCAATCATTCTAAAATAATGACTCTAGAAAGTATAGTGTATGTTACATTTTTTGTACATATATAAAAAGACAACAACTCACGTGATAAAAATCCTGATACTCTCTTGCTATTGCCTCTACAAGGTGTTCAACCGACACTTCAGAACAGATTTCTGTCAAATTTATTACATTTGCTTTGACACTTTCTGTTGCTTTACTTTCTATTCCATGCTACAATTGAATAAGAAAAATGTTAGTTCAAATCTTAATGGTGCAAAAATATATTGGCATACCATACCTGAAAGAGAAGCAATATTAATTGCAAATATTTCTTGAATATTGGAAAAACATGTCAACAGAACCAAGTTTAGACAGATAAAGTTGTTAATAAGGTAAATTTTATAAATCATGTTAACATGGTATGTCAATACATTAATTTTAAACACTACGCTGTATTGAGCTATTTGCCTATCTTAATCATGAAAACTGTCAATACAATATATCTTGAACTGTCACAAATTTAAGTGCATCATAAGTTAATTTTGAGTCATTAATTTTGTAATAATGCAAAGAGGGCATTAAATGTAATTAGTGAGATTACATGGAATACTGACATTTGTTTTACAAGTATGACTTGTATTTTATTAGAAAACCTGTTACCAACAAAGTCATAAACCCACAAATAAGTTGTTGCATAAACAGTTTAGAAAAACATGTTAGTAAAATCTGAAAGAGTCCCAAAGGCAACATTTAGGTAGGAATGCCCCACTTCCTTTGCTTAATAACACACATTTAATTCAGGAATATATATATATATATATTAGTTTTTGCTATTTGAACGGTTATTAAATAATATATGAAATCATCATAGCAAATGCTTTGAAACTAGACTGTTATTAACAGCATTAATACTGTAATTAATCCTACCAACTACTTCTGGTATTTCCCATGCATTTTATGAGTTCTTTCACCAAAGTATTGTGGTCATTTCTTTACAATGAATGAAGAAATAGGTAAAAACATAAATTATTCAACACATGCAATATGTGGCCTCAAATTGGTAAGTTGAGGATTATACATTTGATGTGGAGAAGAAAAAAAAAGCTATTTGTAATCAAATTTTGGGACTATTTACATAAATTTTAACTTTAAACATGATACTGTAATTTTCCAATAAATGTCAGTGAAACGTTTTACATTTTTATGTGCAGGTCTACTTTCCTTATTATCGATAAAATACAGGCACAATAGGGAAAGTGGAAAGACAAGTTAATAGAATTACGTGTTGTTTAAAAAGTTAAGTAATGATGAGATAAACTTAAATACTCAGACATATTTTCTCTAGAGTGTTGGAGTAGAGTAATTCAATTCTTCAAAATTTACATGAAAAATCTCTGAATGGTAGAATTATAAGGCTACAAATAATAACACACTGATGTACAAAATACACTCTGAAAACACCAAAGGATATTTAACTGACCGTATCTTTGTTAAGAACACTATGCAGAAGTGTTCTGTCTACATTTACAAGGACTGTACAATGATGATATGAATTATTCCTACCAAGTTTTGAAGCTGTGCCTGATATCTGTTAAAATAAGTAAAGGTTTCAAGCACAAAAGAACTGTTACTTACTCTTGTGTTTAATATTACCTAAGGGGATAATTTAAAAATGAATAACATTCCCCTATACAAAAATGACAAAAACTATATCAACACCAGTTTTATAAATACAGTTAACTTTATATAATTCTTTAAAGAACGTCTAATAATAATAGAGTTAGCAAACACACGTATGTATCTCTTTCTAGAAAGTTTATATCAAAATCTCGTAATTAGGCTATAGGTTTAGTGTCATTTTTTTTAATCAATACTAGTGTTCTAGTGGAAGCAAAATTTGTAACTAAATATTAAAATATTTTTTCATAATATTCTTGTTTCATGGTAATAGATGTTATCAAAGAATCATTCTGCAGCCACATTTATAAACAAATTTAGATGCATTGTAGAAACAGGTATATTACATTGTAAATTATCTTGTGGGACATTTATTTGATGTCTAAAACAATAGAATATTTGTCAACCAAGTACACAACTTCTAATTCATCCTAGAAAAGGATACTTTAAAATCCTTGTTTAAAAGTATATCTTCTCTGTGAGAAATGCATACATCTAGGTTCCATGTTTTTCTTAAAGCTGAACATATGATACCTAAGTTAGTTTTTCTGTTGTACTTTGATCTTGGCGACAAAAAGGAACAGTTCAAATTCCCCATATCGTGATAAACAGTGCCACCACCACTGTTTCTTCTTGCTACAGCAACTCCATTTCTCTCGCAGGTACTAATACTGCACTCAGTCCATGGATTTTGGTGGCGGCCAATTACTACTGCTCTTTCATTACACCACATAAGCAGTACACCACCAATTGCTGAAAAATCTACATTTTGATAAAACCAGTCTTCAAGTGCAAGATTGGTAAAAATGTTGTTTGATTTTGAAAAGATTACTTGATACTGTGACAAACCATCATCAGATGATTTTAGCCTAAAATTATTGGTAGTGGTATTCATCTTTCTCATGGCTCTATACATCTTATCATGTAAGCCAGCACGTAACATTTTATATAACTTCTGAACACACTGAAGTGAAATTAAAATAAACTCAGCTTAAGTCTAAACTTGGTAATAGTACTAGTAGATAACAACATAGTTACAGAATTCTATGCCCATTCTAGAAATATTTGGTTTTGTTTAAAATGTTGTGTTCATGTGGTATTCCAATTTTTTTTTGTTCCTTTTAGTTCTTTATCACTAATATTATAATACAAATTACTAATCTAATTCATACTTATCTAATTTACTGTTTCTTACAAATAAAATAATTATAAACGTTTTGTTTTTTTATATGTTAATAGAGTTGTCACTACTACTACTTTTTTCTTTGTCACAAAACAACTGGTCAAAAAACAACAAAGTTAAAACTGTCTAAAGAGTAAGCTATTTAAGTGTCTAAGGATTAATGTAGCCATCATCCTAAACGTTTAGACTTAACTTATCACTAAACCAAAACATGAACACATTTACTATATTACTACTAGTATTAATAGTACTAGTTGTAACACTAACAGTACTATATTACTGTTATGACACTGACAGACTGGTCAGTATTAATGATAAAAGGACTAGTTTCCCATACTCAAATGGATTAAAACTAAATATTGTACTTATAAATAAAAGTGGATAGTAATAGTAATAACGACGTTTAACAGAAATTATTAATATTAACAGATATCAGGTTAAAGCATTTTTACACCAAAAGGTGCTTAGATTAAATTAAGAATGTAAAATGTCATAAAATTTAACTAAAAAAGATCCAAATTCTTAAAACTTAAGAGAATTTTTTTAAAACTGATAAACCTAACGAACACGCTTTCAGAAGCAGACTAAAGATTTAATTTGATCTTGAATGTCCCCTAGTGATAGTTTATGAAATTAATGATACTTATGAAAAATATTCATAAAAACCATACACTTAAAATTGGTTAAAAATACTATTTCTTATTGTCATGATATTTTTTTATTCGCGTAAAATTAATTATCATATAAACATACAGGAACTCTATCGTCCACGAGTATGTGTTGAAGGTGACTCAGCTCTTTATATCATGGAACATTTATGAGTTTAAGCCTCCCAATATAAAATACAGAACTGTATTGTACTCTAGTTGTTGGCTTTTAGCGTAAAGCTCCACAAGGAGCTACCTGCGTTCTATCCACCACGGATTTTAGCATTGTAAGTCTGAAAATCTAGCAAAAAGCCTTTTCATTTAACTATATAATCCAGGAAGTTCGTATAATATCAAATTCACTGTTGAATTTTTCTTTTTAGGCTCGTAACTATATACACATTATGATATTAATAATGGCTGGAGACGGCTTGAATGGGTAATGAAGAAAAACTTTAATATAACAGCAAATGTACAACGTTTCGACAAGGTTTTGTCATCATCACCTGAGACGTTCGTTGTTATAGCGTTTGTTATAGCGCGACTGTTGAAATTAAATGTATCTTAAAGTTGTATTCGGAAAGAATAAACTAGTTTTATTAAGTAAGGACTTGTGTCGCTAAGGTTTAATCGGAACGAAGTTACGGAAAATCAACCAACGAACAGAGACGTAACAATATGATAAAACACATTGCACATTACTTAATATTTAGCTGTAATTATTATGTACTTGAAAAAACCCAACTTTTTACAAACTTAACACATTATATATGTATATATATATATATATAAACTGTGATTGTTTAGCTGGAGTACTTTCAATTGTATTCAATTAATAAAATGGTTAAGTAACATATTAGCACCGTGTATGTAATTTTGTAATATTTGCTATAAGAAGTAGTAGTGATTTCAGATGGAATAACAACAATGTATATCATCAAAAACTACTGCTTTGATACAAAAAAATCAGTGAATTGTTAAGAGGTGACCTTTAACATTAGGTAAAAAGTTTCTTCTCTGTTAAGATTTAACAGTGACACAGCAGTATGTGTGCCAACTTAAAACGCTAGAAACCGGGTTTCGATACCCGTGGTGGGCAGAGCACAGATAGCCCATTCTGTAGCTTTGTGCTTGATTACAAACAAACTTGACAAGAAAAATTTATGCCATTTTAAACGGAATTTTATTTACGATCACTTCCAAAACTACTTTTGCACGCAATGTTTGATGTTTATGTCAGAATAAGCTGTGAAGTTGAAAGTTGTATTAATATTTATATACAAATTAAATTCGAAAAATGTGATATTAGGAGTACCGGAAAGTAATGCCGTCTTTTTCCTTATACAGCGAAATATTTCTTTTTAACGATAAGTATTTATTCTTTATTCAGTTAAAAAAAACCATTTTTATTAATGACAATGGTCCATCTTTTAATCAAGCTTTCATTTCCTAGTTAATAGAAGGAAGTTTCCTTTTGAGACAAAGAGTTCTGCGAGAGCAGTTTTGTTGTCATCAATATTTATAAAGGTTTCATCACTGAGAAAATGCTGTATAGATCTGAATAAATATTAATTTGAAGGGGCAATGTCTGAATGTCAGGAGAGTATGGAGGGTGAGGCAGGACTTTCCAATACAAATCTCTGATCTTGTTCTGAGTCATTCTTGCAAAACGTGGTCTCGCATTGTCATGCTGAAAAATGAACCCTTTTCTGTTGATCAATGCTGGACATTTCTTAATGACAGCCTGGTATAAACGGTCCAATTGTTGACAATAAAGGTCTGCAGTTATAGTCTGATTGAATTTCAATAACTTAAAATGAATTATGCCGATTCTGTCCCACCAAACGGACAATAAGACTTTCTGCGGGTGTAGACCTGGTTTGGCTGTCGGAATTGGGTTCAGACCAAGGCTAAGCCACTGATTCTTGCGTTTGGTGTTAACATAAATAACTCATTTCTTATTTCCTGTAACAATCCGATGAAGAAGCGGTTCCTGCTCATGTCTGGTTATCAGTGAATTGCAGATTGTTATGCGCTGGTCTTTCTTGTCATCTGACAGTTTGTGTCCATTGACCTTCCCGATCTGTTTAAAATGTTCTTGAATGCTGGACCAAGAAGAATTAAGTTTTCCTGACAACTGCTGGATGGTTTGACGGGAATTTGATTCAACCTCTGACCTCAAGAGTTCATTGTCCAACTCTAATGGTCTCCATGAACGATCGCAATCTGAGAGGTCAAAATTACAAAATCTGAACTACCGCTAGCATTTGCGGACACTCAAACCATCTTTATAAACCCCCACAAATGTTTTTGGTTGCATCATTTGCCTTGTTACCTTTATGAAACTCATAGAGCATGCAATGTCGAATGTGATTCTCGGTTGGAATGTGGTCGGTCATTTTTTCTGGTTAGAGGAAAACTATTTTTGTGAACAGAAAATTGATAAACAAGAAGGGTTTTTTGTTGTTGTTTTTTTTTGCCTGATAAATCAAATTCACCTGAAAAGAAATGAAAGCAGATAATTAGAAACGTTTGAATTTATGGTAATAAAAAATACATTACTTTCCGGTACGCCTAAAAAATTCTCAAACTTTTCTTTTTATATATTTGGAACAACATTTTTACCAACTTTTACGATATGGGATACATTTAACCTAAAATAATACCACTACAAATTCAATAAATTAATGTTTTTAAGTAGTTAACAATTAACATGTACCTAATTTGATAAACCAACACCAAACTGGTATTTAAAGATAAGTTTCAAATTTTCTAACCTTAATTCATGAGCTAACCAGCCCCAGATCAGTGATACATTTGGAGTATGCAACATCAAACAAACTTCAAATTTACAAATGATATATTTTAACGATAGCTGTGGATTAGGGATTATATTCTGTGAAAATAAATGTCCGTATTTTTGCTGTTGTTGTTTTACTATGAAGTTATTCAACATTCCCGTCCCTTCCTTATTCAATATTTTCAATTTTCTGACAAAAATAGATTGTTTTTCCTCCGTTGTATTTCCTGTTTTAAACATAGAAAGCAAATGTTTAACACTATGAGAACATCACAATGGACGACACTATCTATCTATCCTTGTAACTTTTAAATTAGGGGCGAAGGAGGTAAATTGAAAGTGGTTAGGTCCAAGGTTTATTTGACCGAGCGAATCGTGGGAATGTTCGCCACGTGCACACCCATTATGGCAGGGGTTTGGAAACTCTTTGGCTCTGGATTGAATTTTATGCATTCTCCTACTTTTCTTGAGAGTAATTTTTCTGATTTTGATGCATTTTTACTGGAAAATATTGAAATGTTGAGGAGAAGGCCGCTTCTTACGCTACTGTTTTCAAGTAACATAAATGCAGTCGGCATGATCTCATGTAATTAAGATGGGATATCTGTTGAAAGAAAGGTAATATAGAACAAATTGTTCCCAAAAAAGAATACAAAGAAAACTAGAAATGAAAAGAACATGGCTACTTTGAAAGTAAAAGCTGTTATTGTCTTGAATCATGAAGGCAGTGATTCAGATGTTAACGAAGATCATCTTGAAGCTCGTCCATTGTTTTCTCTGCTGAAATGTTTTGTTAAGGTTGTTTTATGTAGTTTATGTATTAATGCTTTTATTCAAATTAAGTAAGGTATATTGAAAAACTTTGGAAGCCTCACCACATCACACAGTTCATTTTGCTACATTTAGTCATGCTCTATCTAATGACTGTGCACCTTTAAAACAATCTTGCAATGAAGTTTCCATTGCATAAGACTGTCACGTCCAAATGATGCCACTCCTTCCTGCAAGATTTCCATAATCTATTTAGTATACGAGGACGACAGTTTCCCATCATCTGTTTCAACAGTCCGACCATATAGAAATCCATATTCACTGCGTCTGGTAACTTGAATGGAATATCTTCACATTGCATAGCATGAATACCCGTTTCATTCTACAGCTGCTCAAGATATGCGACAGTTGAATAGTAAATATGACTGGAAGTCTTATCTTGGTGAACCCACACCTGTTGGACTCATTTCCAAATAGATATCCTCTTTGATTATGTTGTGTACTGTTGCCTAAAGGTAAGTAGACAGGATTTGCAGTTGATATTTGTGTGTTCGTGTATTCTCACCTGTCATAAGATGTCGCATTTTGCTTACCATGTCTGGGTTACGACTTGTTGCATTTCTCTTTCTAAATGATCCTGGTTTTCCAAGTTGATTCATATTCCTTTGTTTTCCAATGCTATTAATTACAAGGAATACCCCCTGCCTTGGAACTTCTAAATCCACGATTTGAACACATCTTTCTGATAAATTTTCAGTCGCATCATATTTCCCATGAACGACAATGTTTGAATGCATTTTCGATAAATGCTGTTCCACCACGACTTTATATTGGCAGTGGTTGTTACACGACATACATATTCAAAATTGTTTTAGTATAACGTACTCGTCCCTTTATTTCTGATTATTTGTGCTGAAATGTGCAAGTTTCTGGCCAACTTTACAAAGCATTGTACTCTCGTTAAAATAGAACATTGACAAAATGTTTGAAAATTGGTTCAAAATCACTTTTAATTTTTGTGCTGGTTTTGGATTCTTCAGGCCTAAGACTCAACGATACCGTTTATAACTATCAAAAATGTGAAAGTAGTACACCAGATCCAACTATATGAAAATTTAACACCACAATTTAGGGATATTTGCCTGGTAAAGTTGTGAATTCAGGGTTATAAGTAAAATTGAATATTAAAGCCGCTCATTTAGGCGTACAGAACTTAACAAATGGGCCATTTGGTCCTTCAAATTTGTCCTTGTATCCCCACCCTTGAGAAGAGAGAAACTTTAAATTCGTCCTATAATTTTCATAAAACCACCAACTTCCCTCATAAAACTCATGTAAAGTGCCAGCTTCCATTAGTTCCGACGGTAACTCCTTCCATAAGCTAATCACCCTTAGAAAAAATAAAACTGTCGTAACTAGACTCTCTGATTTTACAAAATGCTAATCTTGTGTCCTCTGATCTTCACAATACAGAACAGAGAAATCAGAGGTCTGTATTCTATCGAACACCTGGAAAATCTTGTAAAGTTCAATAATATTACTTCTTACTCTTATCTCAAAAAAAAAAAAGAAGTAAAATAGTAAAGAAATCTTAGCCTATCTATATAAGTTAACCCATTCTCGGAATCATCCTAGCAGCCCTTGTCTGAACAATTTCCAATCACGTCTCCCTAAAGTCAGAACTGAAACTTGCTAGAAAATAAATAAAACAATCACACTAAACAGCTCTACTACTTTCGATACATATGACAATTTATGCATTGAATACTAGTTAAATATTGCGTATTACAAAAATTCAGAATAAATTGTGTTATTTTCATAAGAACTGCTCAATATTCGAATATGAGCATAACTGCGAATTTTTCGAACATGGACATAACTGTTTTCAGGTTCCTCGAAACTAATAATTTATGCAAAAAAATATGTATTCTTGTAACTAAAATTATTCTTGAAAATACTCGATAACTTTCATATTATATATCTTGGATTTATTTTACAGTTCCTCAGAAGAATTCAATTTATCAATCATTATGAGCAGAAAGAAAAGTTTTAATAAAAATGATAACATGCGTGTTCAAATTCTATAAACTGACCAACATTACAGAAACAAGAATTTGTAAGATCTCTCTGACAGAACCTTTATTTGTTGAAATATAAGATGGATAATTATTACATTAATCACTGAATGTACTTAAAAGGTATAATAATAGCTTTAATGGCAAATTTAGACTTTTAGTACAATATTTTTGAAGTCTAGTTATACATTTAATCCATGGGTCTATCACGTTTCTTCTCTGGATTGAGCTTGATCAAATCATCTATACGAAGAATAGTAATGGCAGCTTCTGTTGCAAACTTCAGTGACTTGATCTTGGAAATAGCAGGTTCTAGGACTCCAGCTTTCTTGTTGTCACAAACTGTACCCTCAAACAGGTTAAGACCCACCCTATCGAGAAAAGTACAGATACAAGATATACTCTTGAAACTGGTGAAGGTTACATCATATCTTTTCACTCAAGAGTTACATGAAAGTTTTTAGAGCAATCCAACTAAACATTTATAGTACACAGTTCAGAATTCCAAACACGGTTTAAATTTGACCTAGAAATATTTAATAAATAAATTGCAAAGTAATATTCAAAATTTACTTAGAGTAAGCAGCACAAATATCTATAATCATGGGCAGCAAATTTCTTATAACTATTATATACAAAACATTACAAAAAAAAAAAAAAACATACCTGCATACTGCAGTTCAGTAGATTTACGTTAAAGATAAATATACTACAGTGTTGCATTATCTGAAACATCTACATGTAAACAACACTACAATACACAGTCGGTCAACAATGTTCAGCTTTGATGTGTGCTGATTAAAGGCGAGAAGTCTTAATAATCCATTTAATCTCGTTAGTGTTTAATGAGAAACAAAAAAGCTGAATTTTTCTTGTTTTTAGTCAGCTTCAGTTTTTGGAATAAGAACTATTTTAACAGTAGAATTCCAAAGAGTAAGTGGTCTTTTTTGAATTATAATAAATAATTAAAAACAACATTTTATATTTACCCAATAAAAACTTTGTTATTTACAAGTTTCATTACCAGATGGCTCTCCACTCATGTAAATGCAACTTTAACCAACTTCTAAAATAAGTATTTGTCATGGAGGTGTGGTACAGTCTTGTCTTACACAACAACAACAAAAAAAAACAACAACAACAACAACATTCAAAGGACACTTTTTCTTTTTAACTAATTTTTACACTTAAATAGTATTTGAACTCAACATTCGGTACATATTTCATGTTATAGAAACAAACTATATTTGCTGAAATTAGGAAGCTTAAAAACATTGAAATTTATCTGTTTTGTGGATGTTAAACCAGCACTGTCCATCTTAAAAACGTTTTTTTTCACTTGCTTAGGAGTTTACTACTATATACCAACATTCTGCAAGATAAAGTAAACAAATCCCCAAAATGCTTTACACAGAATGTAAGCAGACACACCGAAGCTTTGAATGACTTCCAAACATAATTCCCAAGTATGTCATCATTAACATGTTTAATTTTTCTGTTTTTAGCCATGGCACAGCAGTTCATAAAATGGCTCAGAGTTTTTTTTTTCCAAGTATAAACTTTTAGCTCATAGCCCTGTCATCTCTTGACTGATTTGATATCTAATTACATTTTTGAACTCAGGAGGTCAAACCCTTTCAATTGATGTATTTGAACATGTCCAAAGTCTCATAGATTAATTTACTCTCATTCTGCCTAAAAGAATTTCAATTTGAGGATAAGCTGTTAGATATCTCTGATGAGCAATAAAATCAAATAGGGTATATGCATGCTCCATGCACTAAAATATCGCTAATAAAAAGGAGAAAAAAAGGCCTCAGATTAATTTACTCTAATCCTATCAAAAATAACTTCAAGTGCTGCAGCTATTGAAGATTCCCTCTTGTTTAAACTTATACAGAAAGAAAAGCTGAAATGCAGCAAGTTTTCAGGAATGAACATCATCTGTAAAAATATTACTTCTATGCTGTACCAAAGTGTAAAGAAGTTTTACTCTAGTCATGATAATTAGTGAAACTGCTAAATAAAGTTACGAAAAGTTTTATTGTCTATACAAAAAAAACTAAAAAAAAAACAACAACACTTATCAGTATAGGTTCCTAGTCTGTGTGTCAATTGGCATTCATCATAATTAAAAAGTTTCTCAGATTATTAAGTCTATTTTTCTTCAGTCTATATTATTCATACATATAGATGTAATATCAAGACTTCTTTAAGGTAAACTAGGTGCACTAAGGATATTACAAATGTATACATGAAGATATTAGCAAGTTAAATTTTTGCACTTCTGAAATCAAACAAATTTTAATAAAAAAATTATCTGTGATAAATATCTACTATCTTAATTCAAAATATTTTGAAAGAGGGTCAGCATGAAATAATAAAAGGAAAAACCCACCATTTTAAGTGAGTGTGTTCACTTTTTGTTTGACTGCTGTTATGATAGGCTCGTAGTTTTGCCACTAGATCCGTAGCATCTTTAGCAGCATTAACTGTCAGAGTTTTAGGAATAACTAGCAGAGACTTAGCATACTCAGCTATTGCTAGCTGTTCTCGGGAACTCTGGAATATGTGGAACAAATATTTCAAACACCTAATACATGTGAAAGATAAGTGACAGAATACAACTTGAAGACAATACGGAGTTCAACTTGGGGGTCGAAGGACCCAATTAGCTTGTTGAGTTGGGTTTTAACAACAAGACTCAACAAGAATATTGTTAAAACCCAACTCAACAAGCTACTCAGGTCCTTCAACCCCCAAGTGGAACTCCATAATATGAAAAAGACATTTACAGAGATAGTACCATGTGGTGTTGAGTTTATGATGAAACGGTTGTTTCAACACCAATCTTACCAGTACTTAAAAATACATCTCCAATCTTACATAAAGCATGTCTTTCTGGTACTTAGTATTTGAAATAACTGAAATGTTTAAGGTAATTTTGCTATATAATCTGAAAATGTTATGTTAAAAGTCTTCTAAACTGAATCTAAGAACCTTTTTTTATTTTACCAGTACACCTTAACACCAAGTTAATGTTGCCAAATCAATACTAAACAACTATTATCAGAAGATTACAGATTAAACTAGGACCAACATTCTCATTTCAGAAACTGAAATTTAAGTCCATTTCCATTAGATACTCCCATGTGTTTCAAGTCTTGCCTATATAGGTGGCTTTACAGCTACCACATACAAGACCTTTGAATGCAAGACTGAAGGTAAAAATTTCTTTTGTTCTAAAAAGCTACCGATTAATCAAGATCTACAACATCTAACAGCACAGACACATTTGAAAGGTAGAACTTTTTTTTTAGGCCTAAAAAATGGGTAAAGGTGTTTTAAGATATTTTGATTACTCAAATGATGATGTAGAAAGATGTATACACAATAACTTCATTTGTAATATGCACAGTGTCATTATATGACTTCAGGTTAATAATTACTGGGAACTAGGTTAATCAGCACCATACAATACTTAGAAAATTAATTAATTGGAACAACTTCTGTACATAGAGTAACTTGTATAAAATTATTATAATTTTGAGACATTAGATTTTGGGACTAAATGTAAAGAAAAAGCTGGATGGTTGGTTGGTGCGTGCGTCAGTACACTATTAGAAGCTTTCTTTGCTGAATAGTTTGCTATGGACTGCTCCTAATTTTTGTCTGAAGAACTACACACAGTCCGAAACATCGTCCCTAAATTCAAACAGAAGCAGACCATATGAAATTATTTAACACATCCAAGTTGTTTACATAATCCAGAATACTTGCTTGCACCCCCCATGTGGAAAGTGTAACCATACATGTTGTCTCCTAAAAACATGCTTGCCCCTTTTTTTGGATTCTAATGCCCTCTAAAAACTTTAAAATACTTAAAGCAATAAAGTACTGCTACAATTAAGAATAGGGTCTAATTTTTATACAACTCAGTTTAACGTCTCATATACTCAAGTAGATAGCTGCATGTTCCAAGTTTTCTGACACACAATTTTTAGTATTCATGCACTATTATTGTATGTACCTTCATTTTTCACTCACAAAAAAGTTACATATTTTATAAGCTTAGTAATATTTGGGTTTTCATTAATTTGTGATAAAAAAGTTTTATTATTATTTAGTACGGTAATAATCACGTGAGGACCTAACAAAATTTGACCAGGATTGCCGAGACATAGTTAACCCTATAATGCCAGTGTAGGGTCACTATGATCCCAATCTATACCTGGTGTTAATGACAAAAAATTTCAAGCTGGCATTCTATAATTAAAGTAAACTAGATAAAGGCTACAAAAATCAGGAGCCAATTTTTACATGGCCAAAATTAAAACTAAGCACCCAACAAGTTGAAATTACACACTACAAAATTGCCAATTATGCATTTATACCATGACCTACAGTTAAATCAGCTTTGAACAATAGCATTTAATGCAATTCCATCATTAATAGCAATTTAAAATTTTTTTTTGTATGAAATAATAACAAGAAAAATGCTTTTTAGACAGTCTGGCCAACAGGCACCAATTGCAAAGCAACACGAAACAAATTAAATCATATCTAAGTCAAAAGTTATAAATCTGATAACAATGACCTAGACTTGATTTTTACTAAATTTAGAAATCCAGACTTTGATTATGCAGTGATTATACAGTCCTAGGAAAATTATGCAAAATGATACACTACACAAAAAAGATTAAACTCTGAACCCTGAAAAATCACCACAAAATTTTACATGATACAAGTTTCATATAAGATTATAAAAGGAAAATGTAATTTCTGTATTGTATTCAGATAAAATCTACTAACATTGTTTTAATAAGCAAGTTGAAAAATTCAACAGTTACAACAATACAAGTATATTAAAATTTGATATAAACATATAAATAAAACATTAAACACAGCACATTTAACTACAAATATTCAGGTACAGAAGATTGGTAGTGACTACAACACTTCTTACGCAAGTTGACTTTCAACATTAAATCTTCAGCCCACTACATTTACTTAAATGACAGAGGTTTTAACCAGACTTAACACATTCTCTTTGAAAGTTGTTTTTACTACAGTTATATAAATTATATGTGAAACAATTCACTTACTAAAGATGTAGCAAAGTTTTCTAGAAAAATTGACAAAGCTGTCTCGACAGCTCCTCCACCGGGAACAACACTCTTCGACTCCATCACATGCTTCACAACACACAGGGAATCATGAATGGATCTTTCCATCTCATCCACAAAAATATCATTTGCTCCTCTTAAAATGATGGAACTAGCAGTGTGAGCTTTTGGTCTAAAGAAAGAAGATATTATACCTTCAAAATTAAATTTAAATAAACAATAAAATAGTAAATAACTCAACAAAAATAGATCATTTGGCAACAAACATTCTTAAATGCAATAGTTTAAAAATAATTTGTACATCCTGAAACCATACATAATTCTTTAGTCTGGTAAACAAATCTTTTACATATGAATAGAAACAGATTTATCGCATATCAAAAGTACAGAATTGAAAGACTTTATAGAAGTACTGCTAAATTTACATCACATCATTACCGTAAACCAGTTTTCTATACTTATCCAAAGTTTGAAACTTACTGCCACTCACTGAATTTTAATTTATCACACACACACACAACAGTGTTCAATGCCATTACAAGTGATCTTTGTGGGCTTAAAGCCAAAATTTCAGTTCAGTATCATACATCTTACTTGGTGTAAATAGAAATAAAAAAAAATTCCATATGTTCACTTCACCTGAACAATACTCTATACATTCTTTCTTTTTATAATAGTTACTAATTCAAACGTAACACAGTACATGTTCATCCTATCATTATATATGCAACTTGTGGTTATATCCAACATTTCATGTACGTATGAAATTCTCCACAATTTACAACACTGCTCGCTAAGAAAATTATCAGCATCTTAGTATATTTATACTAAAATAACTTGCCCTTTTAAAAGAATTAGTTCATCATCACAGATCCTCTCTAGCACAACCTCCTCAGCTTCACCCAACATTGTAGCATCAAAAGTCTCCTCACCATCCATGTTTGCTAAAGACTGCAGTAGATGAGCTAGAAAAAATAATCAGAATCTATCAGGCTTGCAGAGTTCCAGCATTTCACAAAAACCACAAGCAATGCAACTCTCATAATCAATATTTCTCCAAATTCTGGTTAGGCCACTACTTTCAAGTTATGAATAACAGAGAATGAACATAGCTTAGGTAGGAACAAATTCTAGATATGTATAATATTCATTGTTTTTAAAGCAATCTTTTTATACCATAATTTATAGTTGAATAACTTGACACATTAATCAAACTGTATTTACATTATTTGAGTGATTTGTATCATTCTGTAACTCAAAATATAAACCAACCTCCAGTAGCTTTGGCTATTCTCTTCAGATCAATCTTTTTAACCCTACGAACTGCCATGGCTCCACATTCAACAAAATACTTTAAACACAAGTCATCAATTCCTCCAGAGGTTAAAATGACATTAGCTCCCGCAGCCAAAATCTTTTCTATTCTTTCCTTGATAATATCACTCTCCCTAAAATATGACAAAAAGCATTATCTCAGCAGCAGCAGTAGTCTTGAGTTCTTAACTACTACAGTTACTACACTTCACATTGAAAACATACAAAACAACCGTACTTAAGTAACAGGTGCCCTTACTTATAACAAATCACTGTTTTAAAAGAGGAACCCAGAAGTTCTGCTCTTGGAGATATCAATCTATTCGTGTAAAACTTCCCAACATCTTAATATATTAACACAAAACTTTTTTTCAAAATTTAAATTCATTCTGTGTATTATATTTTTAAAACCCATCATGTTATGCTATGCAATTATTACATTTCACATGAATGAATATTATAGTAAACAAAACGTCTGTCTACTAAAAAAACTTTTTCTGCTCTTAACTCATATTTCCAAGTGTGTCGAGTTCAAATATATTAATTATATCATGGTATATGGGTATAGAAAGTATAATTATTAAAGCAAAACGCACACGTTTTTATTTTCTTTAAAATAAAATAGGAAAGACCTTATGCACAAAATTTAAGAACTTGCATACAATACTAAAGGAGTAAAATTTTTTAGAAAACTTCATAAAGTAACCTTGACAGCTTCTCCACCAGGAACAACAGTCTTAGAGTCCATCACGTGTTTAAGAACAAGCAGATACTCATGAATGAATCTTTTCATCTCATCCACTAAAAATTATTTCCTCCCCTCAAAATGAACCGATAGGTTTATATTCTGTTATTTACCAACAGATGGTGGGCAGGCATCCAATGATTGGAGAATTGCTAGTGTTACTTCAAAGAGGGTTGTAACAGTTGCCCAGCAAATTATAAATCAGTTAAGTCTTATTTGTGCTGTGGGAAAAATTCTAGAGTTTGACAAAAGAAGCTTTGCAAAATCATCTAGTAAAATATGAAATCATAAAACCAGCATGTATTCACTAGAAGGAAATCTTCTCTTACTGATCTGTTAATGTTTTTAAAGATGTTATCTGGAAAATAAAAAGGAATGGGCTTGCAGTGTTGCTTCTAGAATTTTTCTCAAGTGGGCCAAATCACCCCCCACCCTGGCTTCCAGAAAGTGGGCCAACCATGTAATGAAGTAGGTATCAACTTTGCGAGTCATTAAAGCATAACATGATCAAGTAAATTTCATTTGAAGAAACAGTAAAACGAATCATTGCAATTTGTTTCATTTGTGTATGTACTGAAAATATTACACATTCACTGACAAAAAAAAACTTACATTACAGTTGTCTTCTCTCAGCCTTTTTCCCTTATTTATTTCTATTTTTGCATCATTCCAATGGTAAAAAAAAAAACTAATTTTTTTTTTTGAAAATTAATAGTTTCTTGAATGACTTCATATCTTTCGTTTTTCTGCCACTTTCAATCATTGATATGCCACAATCTCAAGGGAATCTCCCACAAAACCAAATGATGTCATAACGCAGCCAATTACATTATTCTTTTGCATATCCAAATGAGCTAATTGCTGTTCAGAATTTTCCGGTTACGATCACGATCTATTGTTATGAAGTCATTCATAATACGTTTTGAGGGGCAGACCCACACGATATAAAACAAATAGAAATGAAATCAGAATATAAGCTTTACAAACCTTTTTCTGATAGCTTCTAATTTGCCTGGGTCTGTTATCAACACGTGAATGCCAAGGTGTAACTTCACCTTCTGAAGGCCAAAATCTAAACAAGCTACTTTAGCTCCAGTAACCTTCTTCGGCATAGCTAAAACCAAATAAAATAAATATAATAATAAAGAACACTAATACTAACACTATAAATAACTTTAAACCTGAGAAATACAAAGGTAAGAACTTCTCCCATCTACTTGGAGGGTTTGCACATTGAAGAAAGTGAGAGATTTAAGGCCTTTACCATAAATATTTTTAGGGCTAACACTCAGATTTCATATGCTATATAGCTTTTCAAGCACCCATATGGATCCTATGCTTAAAAATATATTTTTATGAATGTTACACTGTTTTTAAAAAATATTTTTAAATGGCCTGAATATAAGGTTGTAAGCCAAACTCCACTTAATAATTATAATAAAAACACCCATTGAAAAAAAATAATAAAAAACTGGGTTTTTAGTAAGTTTAGTAGTTCAAGTACCAAACTAGACAGATACATTTAATAATATAATAATGATTTTCAAAGACATCTGTAAATTAAAAACACAGCATGGAGTTTTTTTTTCAGCAGATGTAAAAGACTGGTAATTTAAATCTCAGAAAATGCCCTTTTTGATTTTGTAAAGTAATAATTCACTGACTGAAAACAAATGTAACTAATAAGGTTGCAAACATAAAAACAAATCCTACTTCTCATAAAGAACAACTGTAATTTTTGCACAACTATAAATTTTAGGTCAAAATAAAACTAATTTTTCTTAAATATATAAAATTCAAGAATAACTAGCTAGTAATAAATTTCATCATGAGTCTAAATCCAAGTGTAATACAATAACTTTTACTGCTATTGATGATCTTGAGCCACTCGGATCACATTATGAACTAATAGTTTTCAAAATCCTTCTAATCAACAATTGGAAGCAAAATCATTAAACCACCCTATTTTTTTTTGTCTCTAATGAAAGTTTTCTACTCACATCACTTGCTTTGATTGAATCATTTTTATAATGTATTCATAATAATATAGTAAAAACTTGGTCAAAATTTAAGAAAAAGGAAGCAGTTTTATCAGTAATTTTATACTGCTTTATTACATCCTGGCTCTGAAGAGCATAGATATATATTTGTGTTTTCTCATAATTCTGAAGACTAGACAATTTCCCCAACCTGGCTGGGGCTGTGTTATAGTAGAAAAGTGTCTAGACGTTCAAACTATATTCTTATTTGAGACTTGTCCAACCTGGCTGGGGCTGTGTTATAGTAGAAAAGTGTCTAGACGTTCAAACTATATTCTTATTTGAGACTTGTCCAACCTGGCTGGGGCTGTGTTATAGTATGTTATAGTAGGAAAGTGTCTAGACGTTCAAACTATATTCTTATTTGAGACTTGTGCCCCAGCCAGGTTGGACAAGTCTCAAATAAGATTATAGTTTGAATGTATAAAAACGCTTTGAAGAATACTTTTACCAAACTATTTGGTGTAATCTAGCTCCTTGGAGGCTGGAGCTGGTGGATGGTTTGAGGATGAGAGTTCTATTATATACTGACCTATGTTGATTTAGTCTTCTAGGCCTATACATTAATGTTATATGCCCTCTAGCTAACAAACAAATTATAACAACATTAAAAATATAGCTTACAACACTGGAAATACTCAGAACTCATCACAAAAGCAAATCAGCTCAGCAAGTCAAAACTACTAAAGAATAAATTCAATGATATAACTGAAAATAAACAACATACCTTTAAATGAAACAAACAAATCAAAAAAGCTAATGACAACAAAGCTGTTTCTTTTAAATATTAAGGCCAGCAGTTGATTAACTTATTGGAAGTCAAACTATGGGCCACCAAAGAACTGCACTGAATGTTGTTGTGTATCCTATACAGTGCAAGTTCGTACAGGCTAACTTGCTACAAACCAATATTGACTACATTATGACTTCTAACACAATAATACAAACATTTAGAATGTTATTAAAAATAAAATAAGACATCTAGAAACATCATACATTTTAGTTTTATAAGCATTCACAATCTTTGACAACACTGAAGAGAGCATATCTCTAGAGATATGACATTTTATTGGTTATGTGAATTTTTAGAATCTGAGATATCATTTCACAGTTTGTTCCTCATTTTATTTATATCGACACCAATAAAAATAAATTATTTTCTTTCTAAAAACTATTAGTATTAATTAGTAGAAGACCTGCACTAGCAACTTGAAATGTCGTCTCCAAGCTATTTGAAGGTTGAAATGCTCATAACACTATCCCAAATGATTATGTAGTAGATGTAGTTTATTACAAGTATTAAAGTAATAGACTTAAAATGATATAAAAAAAATTAATATAATTACCTTGAGAAGCCACAGTACAATTTAAAGCATAACCATGGACTAAGATGCTTTCTCTTGTACTCCGTCCATGAGCCTTCAGAATGTTCACAGCTTTAATTGGATACCTGAAACCACCTTTACCATCCGAGAGTTTAATGGCTGTTGCTGCATCAACAACCATGTTAGCAAAAAAGTCTGCATCTCTAAGTGAACATTAAGGATGATATGCATAGTACTGCAAAAATAAAACCCTAACATCACAAGCAAATACAAGTGTACATATTAATTTAAACAATCTCCAAACTTTACATTATTCATTAACAACAGTATCATAAATTCATAATGTTTTGTCAGCTAATACTTTTTGTTTGTTTTGAATTTTGCACAAAGCTACACGACGGCTATCTGTGCTACCCATCCTTAATTTAGCAGTGTATAACTAGAGAGACGGCAACTAGTCATCACCAACCACCTCCAACTCTTGGTCTACTCTTTTACCAACGAATAGTGGGATTGACCATCACCCCCACAGCTGAAAGGACAAGATGTTTGGTGGGATGGGGATTCAAACCTGAGACCCGCGGATTGCGAGTTGAGCATCCTAACAACCTGGCCATACCGGGGCTAATATTTTTTTTTTATCCCATGAAAAATATTCATTAGCCGATTTTGTTTCCCTAGTGAAAAATATTAAACACCTTGTCTATACTAAATTTTAACAATTAAAAAGATATCAGAAAAACCTATTAATGAAAGTATCATAAGAGTATACAGTATACTTCTTATTATTTAACACAGATTGTATAGAAAAAAATTTATTCTTATTTAAATGGATTTATTATAACTGGCTATATTCTTTTAAAACATCCTAGTAAGTCAATTAATGGATGAGGAAGTTAGCTAGATGTTCTTCCACAATTCAACTATAGTTCAAATATAATTCAAAGTAAACTTGACATAATAGCAAGATCTTGAATCTGGAAAAGTTACAAAGTGATGAAGTAGCCCTATAAATAAAAATTATGGCAGTGCTGTCACATTTTTAAAAGAGCAAAAGAAAAGTGGTCCAATTTTACTAGTTTCCCCAAAATGGATGACTTTGACTATTGTATGATAACATCTGTATGATCAACTTTTAAAATAACTTAAATAAAACAAAGAAGGCCTACTTCAATTATAGTCGAATAACACCTAATAAAATAAGTAATAAATTGTAAAATAATGTTCTTTAATATAGCATTATAAAGCTAATGTTTCTGACCAACACAAGTTTAAATCCATATAGATTTTATAAATTACAAATTAAAAAGTTTATGCATCAAAAATTTTAATATTAATTCTATTAAGTTTATTAAAGGAATAAAAGTTTTTGTACACTTGTAGCATCCAAATATAATAACTTATTTTAGTCAACACAATTTCACCAAAAAACTATCTGAATTATTTTTTTTACCAGTACAGGAATGTTTTTCAACTTTAATGTTTGGTTCAACTGATTATTTTGCATTTTGCCAACATTTCAATTTGTCTCGCATGTTAATTCTATTTCTCAGAAATTATTTAAACTTTTATGCTTAAAAAAATTAAAACAACTAATTAAAATTTCTTTAGAAATCCCTCAATATGCCATGTAACATATATAGGTTATATGTAAAGCTCCATTTTATATTTACCAAAATTGTGTGAAAAAAAATATATATATATATTTCTACTATTCACACACTTTCTATTTCTTTCCCCTTTTTTGACTTACTTAGTAAACCTCCAAAACATCAAATTTTCAACTGAACAAAACATAGTATTTGGAATCAACCACATGGAAGACCACATGAAACTAACAACTATTAATCAAGTTTGTGTAAAATGTACTTCACATATACCAATATGATTCATGGCAAGTCGATACTAAATTTCTCTCACATAAAGTCAGCTAACTCTTGTTGAAGAACATACACTAGTTCAGTAATGGAGTTCTGTATATAAACTATTGATAAACACTAGAATACTTTTATTGTACAGATGTGTTAATATAAAACGAGACATAGTAATTGTCAATATGAAAACAATAATTCAGAATCTTTATTAATTAAGTCTTTATACTTGTTTGTATTTTAATCTTTGATTATTTGCCTTCATTTCTACATGTTCATACAGTTTTCAGCTCTGGTTTTATAAAAATATAAGGATGCTAATGTACCAGAACATGCAAGATGAGCTGTCTTAAAAGCATATATAAATATCATTGTTGATATAGATTAAAGGAACGTTAAAGACTTTAGCTTATGTTGACTGCACTTACACTTTCCTTTAATGTTTCTGTTTCATACTCTGACTTTTATACATAGTAAAAGTTAAATGCAAATATAACCTAATGTACAGTAGTGCAACAAAATATATATAATATCTAAAGAAAGTCATTATGACTTCTTCACTTGAAAACAAACTTGCCGTCATGCAGCATTCTGAAAGTTTCATGCTATTACCTTTCAATTCGTCACTCAAACATTGTTTGTTCTGGAATAGTGTTTTGGAATAGTAATTGCATGAGAGCAAATAAAAAATTCTAGATTATGGGTACAAAAAAGTTGATCTTTTGTAACCATAATTTAACTATTCTGGTGAATGGGTTGGTTTTTGGCCAAAAAATCATCATTAAAATATGTTAATTCTTAAGTAACAATATCAACAATAACAGTTAAAATACACAAGTATTCAATTCTGTAGTTCAGTGAAAAATTCCATAAAAATAATTGCATTTTGTAACTAAACACCCATATCCTTATACATCATTAGTCACATTAAATACTGTGACTCCAACTAGGTGTAATCTATTACAACTGTAAAATTCTCTCTAAAGTTCTTATACTCAATCTTAATTGAAAACTTTTTCTATTTAACAAGAAGTACAAAGTGCAGTCTAAACAACCATTTTTTGATAACTTCCTGTTGTTATAAATTATCCTCTTCTTATGTATCTATATACAGCATAAGCCTGTCTACAAGGACCATTAACTAACTACAATACTTAATTCTTTTGATCATAATCACTATTACCAATGTTACAGGTTCCACAGGATGTTTAATCCTGTTCTGCATCAATCCACATAAAGAGACACTTGGAGAGTAAAGAACTAGTTAAAAACATCAATACCTTCTGATCAAAGCAAAGTAAACTAAAAATAACTTAGAAACTATTACTAGTATCCCTGAAAGTCACCTGTTTTAGCCACTTGCAATACAGTAGTGTGTCTGTCAGTCAGTCAATAGACACTAAAATGACATTACATAAGGGATGCTTAACATTGCAATTTGTACTGTTGTGATATCAGTAAAATGTGTGCATGCCATGAATCACAAGAATTATACACTCTGTAGGCTACAACACAGCATGACATATGGACTACAAAAGCAAGAAATAAATATATTTATTACTCTTAACTTTGATTTTATTTACTTTTTGAAACTGAACACTTTTTGGGGACCCTGTTGAAGTACATCTAGTTATGTAGCATATACTTTATTTTCATAAAAGCTTTGTTACCATTCACAGCCTGGTGAACTTTTGTAGCCTTTAACTTTGTTCTGAGCTTTAATTTTCTAATGCTGCTAACCACATAACTATTAAGTGCCATTCAACCCCATCTTTAAATCAACATATATTAGAATGTTTTATTTTCCTTATTATCAACAATACCAAACTAATATGCAAAATGCAGAGGATACGATCCAATAAGTTTTGACGACATTGCTGTTTTGGCTACATTCACCATACATTCTCGGCCCAATTCATCCACATTTATAGTAAGATGTTCTTGTATATATTTACAGGCTTCCCTGAAAGAAACATATGTTACTTATTCTTTTACAGAAGTTCTAACGTTTCAAAAACTGTGAAATATTTATATTCCTCCCTTATTCCTCACAAGTAATTCTCTCAAATTTATTTTACAATCACTGAAAGAATATTCAAAATAAAGAACATGAATTCTCAAAGCAGATGGTGTCAAAGTTAAAAAAATCAAAGGATAAAATGTTTGTAGATTAAGAAAATTTGTTAAACACTATTAACTTCAGGAGTCCTGATAATTTCATCCTCTTTGTCACTGATGAAGTTTATACATACTTTGTAACCACTTAAAACATTACACTTAAACAATCATTGGCTTGCCACACTTATGATGCAAACCATTTTTAGTGTTCCCGAGTGAATAAAAATCTATAAGCACAAAATCAATAAATCACATCATAGAAACTCCTGCTTAATTAGTATATTTCTTTCTTCCCTTTCTGTTCATATAACAGTGTAGAAATTTTGACAACCTTAGTAAGCCTAAGGAGGAAACACTGCATCCCCCTTGAAACATCGACGTGAATGGACACCCAATAATAAAAATAATAGTTCAAATATAATAAAGTAATGGCTTGATAAATTAGAAAACAATATTTTTAATATCTTCTTCTAAGCATTTTTTTTTAATGGAATCTAATTTTATGATAATAGATTAAAGCCATTCCATGATGGTCAAACACAGAAAATATCTATAAATCCCAGAAATGTTTCACAAAACTGATAAAAAAAAGTTCAGTACTTCAGTTTTTCTTTTATCTTTTGCAACTTTATTATTAGCAAAGAAAACTAATTTCAATTGTTTATAAATATATATTTAAAAGAAAATTCCAATCTCTAAGCTAAGATCTCACATTTTTATGATGCCAAATATTTCAAGTTTAGATAACAAATCTTTTAGTTCCTAAAAGCTGTATAGTTCAGTTTCTTTAACAATCACGACAAATAATGTGCATTTTTCCCAGGGAGAATCTGTACATAATAATAACCTTAATATTCCTACCATTCTCCTTATATCTATTTGTTTGTTTTTGAATTTCGCACAAATCTACACGAGGGCTATCTACGCTAGCCGTCCCTAATTTAGCAGTGTAAAACTAGAGGGAAGGCAGCTAGTCATCACCACCCACCCCCAACTCTTGGGCTACTCTTTTACCAACAAATAGTGGGATTGACCATCACATTATAATGTCCCCACGGCTGAAAAGCATGTTTGGTAGGACAGGGATTCAAACTCGCGACCCACAGCTTGCAAGTCGAGTGCCCTAACCACCTGGCCATGCCAGGCCATCTCCTCATATCTATTTAGATTAACATGCTACTCAAATATAAATAAAATACAGTATAAAACAGATAAAATATTTTAATTACATAAATGGTCCTAGCCTTAAAATGCACAGTCCACTTACTTGCAAGCAAGCCGGTAGCCACTAATGATAGAAGTAGGGTGAATCTTACACTTAACTAACTCATCAGCATTTTTCAAAAGTTCAGCTGCTATGATAACCTAGTAAAGACACATTTTTTAAGAAAGAAAAATATAAAAAAATCAGTATAATCTGACCTTACAACTTTCTTACACAATATTAACATCACATCTTAAAACACAAATTTACATTGTTACATTTGTGATCCAATTCCAATATTTAAGATAATATAAACATTTCCTGTGAGATTTAAAAAATGAAAAAGAATACTTTAAACAACTTTAAAACATTTGTTATATTAATTTTAAAGCACAATTGATAAAACTGAGGACTATGTTGAACCCACCATGAATTTCCCAGTAACTGTGTGATAATCAGATGTACCATTTCAAGTATAAAATTCATAAAAGTCAACGAACTAAGGCTCTGTGTTTACATTTATAATATTCTAGAAACAGATTCCTGCATAGTTAAGAACAATGACTTGGTGCAAACAATAAAATTTCTAATATTTCTTGCTATAGCTTCCAAGTATGAAGTAAAAATCTCCATTTACTGACTTGTACTTCTCAGAACCCTGTGATGGAGTAAAATGCATCATGCTGTAACAATTCTGATTAAATTCATGGTTCTTTCTTTCTGGTAATATCTTTGTTAATCCAGTGATGATTTTATCAACATCTCCTACTTAAGATAGTAACTCTTCCAATGTAGTATAGTTCTAATATTCAAATTCACTGGATTTGTACATACAATATCATTTGAGAGAACCTAATTATATACAAGGAGAAATTATAAATAACTACTTCCAGTTAAATTCAAGCCTACACCTGATTTGGAACACTCACCACAGATGTTGTTCCATCACCAACTTCCTCATCTTGAAGTTGTGCAAGTTCCACTAGGACTGTAGCTGCTGGATGTTCCACTTCAAGAAGCTTTAGTATAGTCGCTCCATCATTCGTTACTGTGACATCCTGGTAATTAAACATTTGAAAACACAAGTAGGTATAAATATTTTCTTACATAGCACCATAAAAATAACTCCAAGTACAAGTGTCTAGAGAAAAGCACAAATAAACATATACTTCTAACAATTTTAATGAGACAGTGAAAACTTTTTCTTCACTTGTTTATCATGAGCTTTTAATTATTTCAGATACTAGCAATACTTTCAGTTTCTAGTTTTAATTTTTTTGATTTACTGAACTATTATATATGTACAATATTTGCAAACATTTGATTTGCAAAATTCTGAGGCGATTTTAATGACAGATTACAATTAAAACATAACTAGTTAATAAACTTGCTAGACCTAAAGCTTGGAAGATTTCGGGTTTCTGTAAAATAAGACACAGTGAGTCCGTGTTTGTAATAAGGAAGAAAATCCAGTAAGAAATAAAATGACAGAATGTACAAGTACACAGTGTTTGGAGGAAAGCATAGCACACTTATAAACCGTATCACAAGATCAAGAAGATACTTTGCATGACTTAAAATCAAAGAAGATTGTAAATATAGCATACAGATTTCAGTTTATAAAATAACTTGGCAGCTAAATTTCATGAAAGAAAGAAATTTAGTGAAATCTAAACACACAAGTACACAATAACCTAAATAGTTGAATACTAGGACTTATGGTAAGGTTGTGATGATCAGCTATCAACTGTTGTTGTGGTTCATAGCCTACATGGTCTCCTAAAATATAATTAGTTACTAATAATAGTTTTTATCCTTGTTTCAATTGCTAATATACTGACATACTCAGGGAAGTCCTGAAAAGGACTATTCCTGCATTAGTAGTGGCTGGAATTCAAACCTGGGTCATCTCGATAGAGGCTGGTGTGTTATTCAATCATCTGAAGTCTCCCCAGTTAGAGCTTTAATCAACTATTTTAACTGAATATTTTCAAGAGGAGTATCAAGGTTTTCTTAACTCCTAGGTTAGGTTGCCGAGTATGCTATCGGATAGATAGATGTAAAAGTTTTTTTTCTCCTATGCATGGTTCATATCCCATTATTTTAGTATTATTCCTATTTATTGTATGTTCTTCCTATCTGACTTGATAGGCTATTGCAAATAGATTGGTATTACAAAGTCTTATTTCTCTATTATTGTGTTTATTGTTGCTTCAATATACTTTACTAACTTGCAACATATATTGTGAATGTGAGCTCCAGTACATTGGAGAAACAAAAAAAAAAAAAAAAA